GAGTTCACGGAGCCCCTCCTGACTGTTTCCTCTGTCTGCTGCAGGCCAAGTTTCTTTCCCAGGACCAAATTAATGGTAGGTTGGGTTTGCTCTTTAATTAGCAACTCACAGAGAAATATGGGTCTCATTAAGCAATTTGCTCTGCTCAGTTTGTGTTGGTGGGAAAAGGTGCCAGGGGGGATGTGGGCCCACCCACAGGCAAGAGGCCCTGCTGGGTGGAGGTGGGGTAGGCGCACAGGTAGAAAGGTTGGTGCTATGTCTCTCCGTGTGAGTTAAAAGGGGGGAGGGAGGGATAGGGGCCGGAGAGAGAAACACAACTAACTGCCTGGGGCCGGGAGCCCAACAAGAGGAGGGCTTTGTATTTGGCCGAGGCAGAGCAAGGAGCCCAGGTCTGCACTCCCACACAGCACCCTTCTCTCTGGCCTCAGTCTCCCACCTGTAAGGTGGAAGGTCAGCCTCGGTGGTCTCTGAGGTCCCTCCACCTGACATCAAGCCTGGTTTTGGGGTGTGGAGCACTGCATCCCCTGAGTCCGCGAGCAGGCTTCCGTTTCCACAGGCCAAGGGAAGAGTTGGGTTACAGAGAGCTCAGGGCCCAGAGCTAGCTCAGGGAGGCCCAGCATAGCTCAGGTTGGGTCTGCAGGCCCTGGGTGGGCTCAGGGTTAGCTGGGTAGGGATTCCAGAGTTCTGAGTGCCCAGAGCTTGGTCTAGAGCAGTGATGGCGTACCTTTTGAGCTCGGCGTGTCAGCATTTTGAAAAACCCTAACTTAACTCTGGTGCTGTGTCACATACAGAAATTTTTTGATATTTGCAACCATAGTAAAACAAAGACTTATATTTTTGATATTTATTTTATATATTTAAATGCCATTTAACAAAGAAAAATCAACCAAAAAAATGAGTTCGCGTGTCACCTCTGACACGCGTGTCATAGGTTCGCCATCACTGGTCTAGAGGACGAGTGGGTGGGTAAATGGGTTGCAGGCTCCAGGTGGGCACCTCCCCGTAGACCTCGTCACAGTCTCACCCCCAGAGGAGGCCAGATCAAGGAGTTCTAAATCACAAGGCCCAGGGCAGGGCCTCTCATGCCCAGGTCTCAAGGCAAGACTGAGTGGAGTCTCGCTCAGCCTACGTCCCCCCACCCACCTGTGGTTCTGAGGCTCACTGACCCTCCCTCTGGGGCCTCTGAAGTTCCAGAAGGAAGGGCAAACTTCCCTTTGTATCCCAGTGTCTGACACCAAGAAAGTGGCCACTAATGTTTAATGAATGAATGACAGACTGGACAGAGGTAGCCTGCTGCAGGGGGAAGAACAGGAACCTTGGAGGCCTGGGCTCCTACCACCTCTGAGCCTCAGTTTTCTCATCTGTGAAGAGGGGATAATGACGCCACACCAGGCTGCTGTGAGCGACAGAGAGGATAATGTCAGACATGCACCTGACACGGGGCCTGGTGCAGTCTGGGTGGCACCCAGACCTGTGCTGGGGCCAGCTTGCTCTAGCCAGCATGAGCTTTAGAAATTTTGTGAACTTGTTGTTAAAATCAGCCATCTATCTATAATAATAAAAGCATAATATGCTAATTAGACCAGAGGTCCTTCTGGATGAAGCTGGGGCTGCAAGGGAAGCCCGGGTCCCGGGTGCCAGAGGGAAGCCGGTACCGGCAGCAGCGGGAAGGAAGGCCTACTCTTATACAAATTTCGTGCATTGGCCCTCTAGTATATATATAAAAGCCTAAGCAACCATTAAGACTGAATGACCAAATGACCGGAACAACCAGTTGACCAGTCACTATGACGTGCACTGACCACCAGGGGGCAGACGCTCAAGCCAACCTCCCACGGCCCCTCCCCCAGGCCCCGATCAGGGGAGGGGGGAGTCAGCAGGCCAAGGTCCCAGGGTCCCTCCCCCTGGCCAGCCGGCCCCCCGATAGGCCTCGTTTGCCAGCCAGGCCGAGGGACCCTACCAGTGCACAAATTCATGCACTGGGCCTCTAGTTATTAAATAATGTAAGATCAAATAATGTTCCAACCCCTGCATTTGTGGAGAAAAAAAAACACCTTAAAAGATGACCTTATTGCAATCAGTAGTGCTGAAGATTTGAAAGGGGTTTGAGTTTAATAAGTGTAATTTGTACAGGGTAAGAACTAGTTTAATAGTAGATCACTCATCAGATTGAATAATAGCACATTCATTGGGAAGAGTTGCATCACTGGCAAGCACCTCACTTGTCAAGTCAGA